AAAATTGAAATATGGGTCAAATTGCGGCCGCAATCTATTTCGCAGTTGGAATGATTTTTTAAAATTTATGTAGTGTTTGTCCTAGCAAGATCACAACAAAATTTACGAGTACTCCAATTTTCAGGTTTTTTCACGCATTCTTATGAGCGCGAAAACTCACTGAATTTGGAGTACTTTTTTAGTTGGCCCAGGCATGGCTGAGTGGCAAAAATGGAAAATGTGTCGAATCGGCGCGACGATTATTTCGCAGTGCAAATGATTTTTTGTAAATGTTTTATTATTATTTCTGAAAAGAACATGCCCTCATCTATGGATTCTCAAAATTTTAGATTTTTGTGCATGTTCGTCTGATCACATAAAATTGTCAAAGTTGCCTCTTGCAAAACGTCTGTTTCGTTGTGCCTAACCTCCATGTTTTGAGAAGATGGGGCTCAACGCCTGGGCCTGAGGCCCTTTTGCAGACTACATGCCCTCACTTCTTTTTGGGGTCCGCTTCTACCCGAGGACCGGCCCAATGCCCCCAGTTCTTTTTGGGGTCCACTTCCACTCGAGGACCGGTCCTTCGTTTTTCCAAAAGTCCCGGTTCGACCAGAGCTAGCTGTAGGTAGTCCGCAATTTTGCAATAGACCAGTCCCCCAATTTTTTTTGCCCCCGAAAAACCCACTTGCGTCCTGGTCGCCCGCCGCCAAAAATGCGACACCTTGACACAGACGCCGAAGCCCGGTATACCGCAGCCTATTTCGCAGTTGGAATGATTTTTTTAAATTTATGTAGTGTTTGTCCTGGAAAGATCACAACAAAATTTATGAGTACTCCGATTTTCAGGTTTTTTCACGCATTCTTCTGAGCGCGAAAACTCACTGAATTTTGAGTACTTTTTTAGTTGGCCCAGGCATGGCTGAATGGCAAAAATGGAAAATGTGCTGAATCGGCGCAACAATTATTTCGCAGTCTAAATGATGTTTTGTAAATGTTCGATTATTATTTCTGGAAAGAATACGACCTCATCTATGGATTCTCAAAATTTCAGATTTTTGTGCATGTTTGTCTGAGCACAGAAAATCGCCAAAGTTGCCTCTTGCAAAACGCCTGTTTCGTTGTGCCTGACCTCCCTGTCTTGAGAAGACGGGGCTCAGCGCCTGGGCCTGAGGGCCCTTTTGCAGATCACATGCCCTCACTTCTTTTTGGGGTCCGCTTCTACCCGAGGACCGGCCCAATGCCCCCAGTTCTTTTTGGGGTCCACTTCCACCCGAGGACCGGTCCTTCGTTTTTCCAAAAGTCCCGGTTCTACCAGAGCTAGCTGTAGGTAGTCCGCAATTTTGCCAAGGACCGGTCCCCCAAATTTTTTTGCCCCCGAAAAACCCACTTGCGTCCTGGTTGCCCGCCACCAAAAATGCGACACCTTGACACAGACGCCGAAGCCCACTATACCGCAGCCTAAGGGCTGCGAACAATTGACCCGGAAAAAGAAGGGGATCAAAATTATGCCCTTCGAGTACTTGATTTTTTTTTAATCTTTTGAAGAGCTGCCAATTAAAATGAGTCTTTCTATTTTCTTTTCCCGCCTCTAAATCCCTTGCAATTTTGCTGCCATCCGATTCTCCTGCATCAGTGGTCGGACGATGTCCCGCAGATGTCCCAAAGGTGTTTGTGGGACACGGTTTACCTTACTCCTTTGCTAGTGGAACCGTGCCCCTGGTGGTCACTGACACCACTGGCCATCTGCCAAAAGTTTGGATGCATCTACGTCGAAGATGTTGAGATGCGTTCAAATGTTGGCGGATGGCGAGTGGTGCAAGTATATTCGGTAGGCCCTGATGGTATATATATATATATATATATCGTCACAAACAGAACTGCCCGGTAAACCGTAGGCAGAGAGAGAGAAGAGGGCAACAAACGAGGGGCTGTGTATATATATATATATAATCGTATACCGTTATGGACTCCGGCACGATAGTTTTTTTTTTTTTTTTTTTTTTGGGTGACCCTTTTGCCATCGTCAATCCGTAAGATAGAACACCGTGTCAGTCGACGGCTGCAAAGCGTCGCTCGACGGCCGCACACCACCGTCGCCGGACGGCCGCACGCACCTACCAGTGACAGTGATGCCGCTGTCGGCGGATGCAAACCTGCTGCGGCTGCTGCTGCTACTGGGACAGCGGAGAATATATATATATATATATCGTCACAAACAGAATATATCGTCAAATAGAACTGCCCGGTAAACCGTAGGCAGAGAGGGAGAAGAGGACAACAAACGAGGGGCTGTGACAAACTGTTTCGTCGGAGTTTCACCGACTCATATATATATATATTCTAACCGCCAAATGCAACAGCAGGTGAGGCTCCCGGTGGTGAGACTGGGGTGGGAGTCCTCTCCGGCGGTGAGGCTCCCGGTGGTGAGACTGGGGTGGGAGTCCTCTCCGGCGGGGGCAAGGTCCCACTTGCACGGATTACGACAATCTGGCCGTTGATCTTTGCTGTCTACGGTCAGTATCGCTTAATTCGTCTAAGTGGGACCTAGCCCCGGTGAAGGGTTCACACGGTTAGGGGTTCGGTCTGTGTCCACCGCGGGTGCTTGGCGTGCCTGTGTCCCCGTCATTGCGCCTGCCTTTCTGCCTGTCTGCCTGTGTGCCCGCTTGCCCGCTTGCCCGCTTGCGCACATCTGGCCGTTTGTCCGCTTTCCCGCTTGCCCTCTTGCGCAGGTGTGCCCGTTTGCCGCTTGCGCGTGCGTGCGGTGCATGAACGATCGCCAGACAGTACCGCGCTCGTGGCTGACTCAACTTGCAAAAAAGCTAGGTGAGTGGGGCGGTTCTCGTCTTCCATCTTTCCCCCCCTTTCCGCTTCACCACCTCCCTCCTTCAGCTTCACCTCCTCCTCTTCATGATCCTCGTCCTGCTCGTTCCTCGGTGCGACTCGCTGTCGCCCATCTCCTGCGGCGAAGGCAGGCAATGCCATTGGCAACTTGTCCTCCATACCATCGGGATACGGACTGCGCACTACTGTTCTCCTCTTCTCCGAGCTGCTCGTCCTCAGCTCCCTCTTCCTCCTCCTCCCTGCTCTCTCTGCTCTCGTCGTGTTGTCTGAAAGTCTCAGCGGATTTCTCGTTTCGCTATCGAGTCCGTCTTGCCCTTGGATGACTTGCCTGATGTCTCCACCGCAGCCATCTCTATTGCCAAGTAACCTCCAACTGCGGATATGTAGAGGAGGAGGAGGAGGAGGAGAAAGAGGAAGAGGAGGAGGAGGAAGGAGAGGGGGAGTAAGAGGAGCACAAACAAGCAAGAGGACTCGGTAAAGAAAAAGTAGTGGGATGAGAAAGGAGAATAACGACAGGCGGAGAGAGCTGAGGAGGAGGAGGTGTAGGACTATGACGTTGCTGACGGCAGGAAGAAGCGGTACGGGGAAAAAGGCGTAGGGTGCTATGGTGGCTTCATTCTGCTTTCTCTTGATTTATTCGGGTTTGCTCGTTCTATTTGGCTTCACCATCTTCCTTTCCTCCTTAGTTTTCCCTTTAATGTCTTCCTCCTGCACGTGTTTCTTCTGTTGTCCTCCTCTCCTCCTCCTCCTCCTCCTCCTCCTCCTCCTCCTCGACGTCAGCGCCTGCATACGTCCATCCAGTTCCCTGTTGAAGCCGTGGAGGTCAATCTCCTCCTACCTCCAGGAGAGCACGAGAAAGGAAAGGAACGGAGAAACGATGATGATTCGAAGATAAAGTGGGTGGGCGAAGAGGAGGGGGAGGAGACATTAAATGATGATGATGATGATGATGATGATGATGATGAGAATGGGGTAGGAAGATGAGGATGCTGATGTGACGAAATTTGAGGGGAAAAAGGGGAGGGTGAGGAGGCTATGATGATTTCGTTTATTTTTCTCTTTACTGATGCGCACATTTTGGTTTCTGTTTTGTCTGCCATGGTTCCTCCTCTTCCACGTCTTCCTCCTCTCTTTCTTCTCCTCCTCCTCCTCCTCCTCCTCCTCTTCCATATGTTTTTTGTCTATGTCATCCTTCTCCCCCTCTTCATCCTCGTTCCGATATCGCTCAGTCTACTGGATGGTGCGGAAAGAGGCATATGGAGGAGAAGGATGAGATAGAGAACATAAAAGCAGGAGAAAAAGCATATGGAGGATCAGTAGTGATCACACTTGCGCAGGGTTTCGGAACACTACGAGGGTTTTCATGTTTTCGGTCCATGTCGTTTTCCATGTCCTCTTTCTTTATCTCATCCTTCTCCTCCACATCGTCCTTCTCTCCACGCCATCTTTCTGCCTTGGATGCCAGTATCCCTCACCCTCGAGAGACTGCAGGACGGACCTCATCACACTTACACTGAGGCTAGAAGAACTTCAAGGGTTTTCATGTTCTCTTCGTCGTCCTCCACATTCACCTCCTGCTGCAGATCCTGCTTCCTGGCGGTACACACACACACACACACACACACACACACACACACACACACAGAGA